GCCGCTCTATAAATTGTCCTGGGATATTGTTATTATTAGTATTATAGGTATTCGTTTTCCTGTAAATTACATTTGCTATTTCATATTCATATATTTACAAAACTAACTCGTAACCAATATGTACTTATAGATATTTTGAACTATTATTGTAGCCATTTAATAACATATAATATCTGGAACATTCCCGGAAAGTAATCATAAAAAAGTATTGCCAAATATCCGGAAAAATGGAGCGATACGGCGATATATAAAATTTATTTTCTATTTATAGAGCCCTGAGACGCAGAAGCTGCAGGAAAAAGTTAGTGAAACCATGACCCGAGTCGGCTTCTTGTGAGAACGTGTCAGGGTTGCCGCTAGCATTTTTTAATTTACCCAATTATTTTTTCCGGCTACTTATGGCCCATATTCTAATTACCTTACGGACTGACATACTTATAATAGTGTACCTAAGTGGTTTCGTACAGTGCGGTTTTAGAGGAGCTTCCTCCTGCGTACACTTAGATTGTGGAATGAATTACCTGCCGTTTTCTCACGAGACTACAGCATGGGGTTTTTCAAGAAGGGTATATTATGGTTTCTTAAGGGCCGGCAACGCGCACGTGATACCTGATGTTTCAGGCGTCCATAGGCTACGGTAACATTTACCATCAGATGGGCCGTATGCTTGTTTGCCGCCATAGTAGTATAAAAAAAAGGTAGTATAATAGTAGTATAAAAAAAGGCTAATGTTTGTTGAGTATATAATAACAACTTCCAACTGTACAGTCTCGATGCTCTACCGGTTTAGCCCACTGCGTTACTATCGATAACAGCTTCGATTTCTAATGGCTGATGGTCAACTCCTGTTTACTTTGCAAAGATAAAAATATTCTATATCCTTATTCATCTCAAAAAATATATATACTCCTATATTAGGTTGTATAATATATAAAAATAACTTCCATAATACTGACTGTTACTCGCGACATTTTTTTTTTAGAATATTATTTCTCTTACCTTTACTTTCTCTATTCACCCTTAATTATGAGGTAATCTGAAAGAGATTGCTTAGCGATATGACCGCTTTTTATATCAGTTCTTTAATATTTACTATTCTAATTATTTTCTGTATTTGGTGCTATAAAGAGAATATATAAATAGCCCGTATCTGTCGTTGTAATACAATATGATATGGGTTATTTAACATGTATAAGCCGTGTAGCCTTATAAAATTAACAAACATACAGATAGGGTACAATTTCGAATTTATAATATACTAGCGACCCGTCCCGTCTTCGCACGGATGCATTACAAATGGGAATAGAAATAGAAATAATCTTTATTCAAATAAACTTAATATAAGCACTTTTGAATAGTCAAGTTTTTTTATTCTACCACTTATTCGGAATGCAGATTCATTACAAGAAGAATAAGCAAGAAACTTGTGTGTTGCTCTTTTAAATAAATAAATATTTATTTACTTAAATTTTTCTCGAAATTTCTCGAGAATTTCTCAGCATGTTCTATACTATAACACGCATATATTATACATATAAATCTTCCTCTGAAGCACTCCTATCTATTGCTGAAAACTGCATTAAAATCCATTATGTAATTTTAAAGATAAAAGCAAACAGACAACGGCCGTCAGTGACTTTGTTTTATAGTATCTAATGATAGTATATTTAGGATACCGAAAAAAGAACTTAAAAGTACTGTTTTTTTTTTGTTTTATTGGGTTGTTTGGGCTATTGTTAGATGTTTGTAGCACCTGTAGCACTGCGACGACAGTACTTTCGTACTGTCGTCTACAAGAAAAGTACCTTAAACTCGTAATTGCAAAATAAATAATAAAATTTTAATTTAAACCTTTTTGTTTAGAAAGATTGAAACTTTTATTTAATTCCTCTTCAATAGGCTGGCTGGTATTAACTGCGAAATTGTACATATTCACCGTTTCATCCACTAGGCAACAGAGTGAATTTCCTAAAATCCTTTTATTTAACGATTGCGGCGCTCGTAAAAGCCAGTTGAATTTCAGATTCGCATTCAGCGGAATTTGAATTTTGCATTTTAAGTCAATCAGCTAGGCTGTCTCGTAGTCTATAAATTAACAAGATTGACTATAACATTTTTATTTTATTGTTTATAGTAGAGGGGACAAACAAGATTACAGCTCAGCTGATGATAAGTGATTACCGCCGCCCTTGAACATAAGGACAATTGTAAGTGCGATTTCGGTCTTTTAAGAACGAATTTTGCTTTTTTCTTTTTTTTTCTTGCAGGTTTCAATATCGTATGGATTCGATAATACTGTTGCTAGAAGGTGACTACACTATGTGGTTTTGCGCGGCCAAAAGTTTTTCTAAAAACGCACGGTGAAAGACCACTATTCATCTAGATGATCAGGACGGTATTTTAGTTTCTGTCGGGTGGTACGATAATGAAATTCAGCAGCTGGTATTAATCTGAATAATTCCTCAGAAGACTCACAGTGATATATGCGGTAGAAAACGCACAGAGATGCAATATCTCGCCGCAATAATTAATTATGAGGAATATTTATTAATTTAATTATTAATTATAATTTTGAGGAATTGTTCGGATTAATATCAGCTGCTAAGTTTCACCACATTACCACCCGCCAGAAACTGAAATACCATCCTGCTCATCTGGATGAATGGCGGTCTTCCACAGTACGGTTTTCTAGAAACTTTTTGCCTCGCACAACCGATACGATATTGAAACCTTCAAGAAAAGAGCTTATTCCTTTTTAAAAGGCCGATAACGTAATTGCAATTCCCCCGGTGTTGCGGGTGCTCATGGGCGGCGGTAATCACTTACCATCAGGTGAGCCGCATGCTCGTTTGTCCCCTGTGTATATGCCAAATATATATGCCAATAATAGAGTAAACTCACTGTTATCGAAGTAGACTTCATATATAGCCAGCTGCGTGGATGCCTGTCTAATATATGTCAGCTGCCAAGCAGTTTCATCAGTAATCTATGTTTCAATTTGTAGGGTATTGTGAAAATGATGCTTAAATGGACTGCAAATAATTAAGGCAAAGACATTGGCTATAGACACGAATAGCTACGGTCGCGGGTTCGATTCTTCTAAAGATACAAACATTTGTATTAATGAGCGTAATGGTTTGTATTGATCTGGCTGTTTTCTATGTATATTATGTATGCATTTATAAAAAAAAATGTATGTATGTACTATATATATCAGTTGTCTAGAACCCATATCAGAAGCTCTGCTTACCTTGGAAATAGATGGCGCTGTCAGAATTGTCCTGAGATATTAATATGATAAACTAGTTGACCCGCGCAACTTCGTCTGCATTATTATTATATTACACCCAAATGACATAATCTCTTTTAAAGTTATAGCCTATGCGTTATTCTGATGTATAAGCTATATTATTGTAAAGTTTCATCAAAATCCGTTCAGAAGTTTTTGCGTGAAAGAGTAACAAACTTCCATCCATTCAAATTTCGCGTTTATAATATTAGTAAGATAAATTAAAGTTAAACTCGACAACCCTAATGCTAGAAAGAGATGCGGGTCAAGAGATGCCCTCATGTGTAGTGGCCACAGTGCAAGTGACATCTCGTCTGCTACGGCTTCATTACTGTTGTGCTCAGTCCCCAGATACTATCGCTATATACTCTGTTATCTACATACTTAAAAAAAACTACAGCAACTATACCACTATCTAATAATTTTCATACTACTAGAAAGACTACATTTAGTATAACTAACATTTAAGATTATAGACCAGTGCTTCCCAACGTGGAGCAAAAGTATTAAAATTCTCTCTCTCTCCTTCTCTCACCCTCTCTCTCTCCCTCCCTCTCCCTCTCTCTCTCTAATAGACTCTCCATTAAAATAATATAGAATGTAAATTTAAATGTTTCTTTATATGTTTTGAAATTTTACTTACTGTTTAATTAAAAATGTCCTAGTGATTCCTTCCTAAAACCTAATATTTAGGTTTCTTAAGTGAACAATTTTTTTTTTATGTTATACTTATAAATCCGTTATGTTACAAGGAGGCATAAGAATGTTAGAAAGACTAAGTTGGGCATGATACTTGTAAGGTTGGGAAACACTGCTATAGACTAATAATATTAATCTATTCTCAATTTGGCCACATACTTTAACTATAAACAAAAGTGTAGTATATATATGTGTGTCTGTGTGTCAAATACACGATAGTGAGTAATGTGTGGGACTATGTATACGGCACTGGGGTCGGTGCAGCCAACGATGGTGGTAATTAATGGCGCAATATTTAAAAGTAATAGTATATTATAAATATATATGTCGTAACAAACTATGTGAGAGCAAGAGCAATAGAAGAGCAACATAACAAAATCACAGCAACCAATATAAAATATAATATTGACAAATAAGAAAGAAAGAAAGAAAAATATTTTATTCAGTGCAATAAAAAATATAAAATGTACATATAATTAAACTTAATTTACCATAATTAAAAAATAAACATAAAATAAACATTTTTTACATCCAATAATGCACTGAAATGGCTCCACTCAGCTTTAATGTATGTCCTAGGTGAACATACAGCTGGTTTTCAGCGGCACCAAAAATATATATATAAAAGGGGGGGAGAGAGAGGGCACTATTTAAAATATTAATGATAATAATTAAAACAAAATTACAACTGATAAATACAAACCAATTACATATACCAGAGATAACAAAATAGAATAAAATAACATTAATAAATATAAACATTAAATATATATACAACTATAAGATTTATTGGTTAAATAGTACATAGTACATAGATAATTCTTGTATAGTTTTTTAAAGGTGAATAATGATTGTCGTACCAGCCAGCGGCCCAAATGTAAGGAGTTCTGTACAAGTAATGTTTTTTTATTGAAACTCCAGATACTGTAAATAGGTAAAATGACAAATATTGTTATTTTTTAAATTACTCGTAAATTCTCTATGGATTTGTAAGACAGCTATCAAACGCAAAAAGCTTCTATAAAGCTATTATCATAAAATATGAATATCAAATTAACTAACAATATATATACTTTGCGATGACAAGAAAGAAAATAAAATGTGTAAAAAGTGAGTACCAATATATTTTTTATTTATTCAATTGCTTTTATATTATAGAATAATGTTTATTTCAATAATGCGAGGGCGTTACACGTTGAAGTTTGTTGGTATAATTTATAATACAAGCATTTCAGTACGTGCCTTAGAATTGGATGAAAATAAGCCTATAATCTTGGACTTTATCATATTCTCTACAGTATATTTTTGTAATATTAAGCAGATATCTTACCTGATAGAAACAGGCAATCATCCCCTATGTATCAGACGACTCAATAGTAATAATACCCCTGAACATTTCACACAATGCCATCTAGTTCCAAGGTAAGCAGAACTTGTGTTATCGGTACTAAACAACTGATTTAAAAACTTAATTTTTTTTATACATACATATATAATATATATGGAAAACACCCAGACCGATAGAAGTAATTATACGCATAGATTCAAATGTTTGTACCATGCGAGGAGTCGAACCCGCGACACATAATTTGTATCAAAGAGTTTATTACAGTCTACATACCTGAACAGCACCACAGTAATACATTAATACATAAATTAATGTGATGACCGTGACGATCTGTTTGTTAAAATTTAGAGGGACTACAATTTTATTCCTTACTAGCTACTCGCCCCGGCTTCGCCCGGGTGTACATGTATTATATATATAAAGCTTCCTCTAGAATCAAACTATCTATTTAAGGAAAAGCGTTTCAAAATCCGTTGCGTAGTTTTAAAGATTTAAGCATACATAGGGACGGACAGACAGCGACAGCGACTTTGTTTTATACTATGCAATGATGATGTTGTTCTTCAACCGTATCATAGCTTACAAAGCAAGCAGCTTGGCGGCTCGAATAAATAACACTGAGGTATCCCCTGGGTCAATTTATACATCATATACCTCGATTACTGCATTATTTTGAACCGAAATAATTCGCAATTAAGTCCCCACTTAAACCGACAAAAAAAATTCTACCAGGCTCCTCAAGAATTATATTTGTTTTTGATATGAAATACTGAAGTCTATTAAATTATTAGGTATTTCCTGTGCTCGTCATGTCCAACCAGAACTACCGAAGAGATCAAAGTAAACGACCGAGCCATTCGCCGTACACCAATAGACCGGCTCGGGTTCACATTCAAATGTTGCTGTTGTATACCACTCAGATTGGCCACTATATTGATCTGTTTAAACACATTTGTAAGTATTGCATTAGAAATAGAAAATAGAAATAGAAATAATCTTTATTCAAATAAACTCATTACAAGCACTTTTGAATAGTCATATTTTGATTCTACCACTCATTGCAATGCAATGAATGCAAATTCATCACAAGAAGAATGAGCAAGAAACTTGTGTGTTGCTCTATTTAATTCATTAAGTCACTGTATTCTCCCAAATTTGAATTTAAAAATGGTCTTTTACTGTATGCATATACCATATTTGAAAAGAATACGAGCTGAGTATCTTGTTAGTTCTCATCTCGAAAGCATTCCGAACTGACGATAGATTAGACATATCATATTATAAGAGTCTGTAAATAGACCTACAGATATTTTGATTTAGAAAAAAAACTAGCTTTACAATAATAATAATAATAAATAATAAATCCATTTATTGCCAATATCAGTATAGTTACATAGTTATACATTTATACATATTTAATATGATTGGCAATAGGTACAAACTCAGCTATTGCTGGACTGATGGGCGTCCAGCGCTGGTTTTCAGTTTGTACCTACGCAGCCGTACCTAATCACACGTGCTAGATAACCATACCACAACATAATGAAATAAAAATTTAACAAATTAATACATAAATAATAATAATATCCACACGGATACACACGTGACATGCATGCAATGCATGTGCACAAAAAAAATCACATTTTATGTCCAGATTTGTCACCGCTATCCAAGGGCTGTCTCTGTCTATCTTTATATATTATGTTATATAAAGTTATGTCTTATGTGTGCCACCTACCCTATTCTATGTACATAAGTCCTCTCTTCTAGGTTGTCAGTAAGAGATTGCATTTAGCGATAAGACCGCCTTTTGTTATTATTTTACTATTTACTGTATTTTCTCATTATTTTATGTGTACACAATAAAGAGTTTTATTATTATTATATTTTAAATATCATATCAAAATTAAATCTTTGTTTCTTATCACCTGATTGAACGTAAGTGTAGCTGTAGTGAAGGTTTGAAGTCATAAAGCACGAATATTTTCGTAAACAAAAAAGTCATCCTAATGATCAAATAAATGAAGGGCTGTCCTGGCCATGGTAATGCGTTAAGGGCTTATTTTGTTAAAGGGTCAGGCTGCTGTTTTCGATCATAAGAATAATGTGCACGAAACTTGCGTGTAGCTGTTTTAAATAAATGTTGTTATAAGTATAATGACTACATATTATAAGGAGGAGGTTATGCAACAATCAACATAGAAACTACACGCTCATTCTTTGTACAATTAGATAATATGGTCAGCACTATAAATTTAAAGTTAGTTTTATTTGTTTTAAATATATTTAGACTTTCTGATACATCAATATAAATACAGCAATACCTATGAAACAAGATACGCACCCCACTCATGAGGCAACGTTCGAATGTCAGCAAGATATTTATAAATATCTTATTATTGACCTTTATTTGAAAATAAAATATTATTATTATAGTTTTCAAATCTATGATGAATAGATTTCTTGTAGGTAAGCGCGCTATATTTTCCATTTTCTTTTTTAGACGTAGTAAGACCTAGCGCAAACCCATTTATAATAAAAAAAACAATATCTAGAATCTAGGACTTCACTTACGAAGGTAGACTTATTAATCATTCCATGTACAGGTGTGGACTTTATTGGAATTACAAGGAGCTAAGAAATTCATAGCCAATCTATTTGAAAACGAAACCATCGTCTACTATACTTCGATAGTTTATATCTTTCTTACAGTTTGTTTAATTTTAGCATCAGGAGTACTGATGTTTGGGATTATAATTGTGAGTTACCTATATACTTATTTATCCATTTTTTATTTTATATAGTAACGACAAATTGTAGGATTTAGGTAATCACATCAAAAGGTTTTACAAAACATTTTTATCTATGTAAATCGATCTACTATATCGTCGATTAAATAGAAAAATTACATTTTTCAAAATTAGAACATAGAATTGCCTCCTTTAGGAGTCAATTAATTTAAATTATATTTCTGTGTAAATTTAAAAATTTAAAGAAAAAAATAATTTAAATAAATTTAAAAACTTTAAATGTATTTACTTGTCTTGTAAAAAATGTACAATTGTACCTTTTGATTACTGCCATTTTTCTATTTAACCGACGATATCTACATGCAGCCTTTGTGATCTACCAGTTTAGCATACTGCCTTACTTCTGATCGTTGCGGGTAAAATGCCTTGCACTTTTTTTCGTAAATACATACAATAGTAAACACCCAGACCGATACAAACAATTATACACATGAATACAAATGTTTGTGCCGTACGAGGAATCGAACTCGACCATCGGAAATAAGGCGATATGCTACACCGCTAGACTACCGAGGCCGTCATTATGAAGTTATGTATATAACGTAAATTAAACGCATTATTTTCAGAGAAGTTACGACATGCTCAATATATACGTATGGTACGCATTTATATACAACTGTGTATACATAATTGTATATATAATAAGTGTAGTGTTTTATATATTGAAAACCGGTGAGTTATCAATGATAAAGTCTATGAAAATTATAGGAGCCATACTCTGGAATTGTTGTAAGTATTTATAATGTAAATAATTTTAATTTTACCACACCACAGCATCGTACGGTTGTACATGTATTATACATATAAATCTTCCTCTTGAATCACTCTATCTACTGTTAAAAACTGCATTAATATCCGTTGCATAGTTTAAAACCTCTAAGCGAACAAACAGAGGAATCAACTACTTTTTATACTATGTAAAAATTAAGTAATTTTAACCAAATCTATAACATTCTGTGAAAAGAAACAAACTAGAAATCTGAAAACACATTAGCATTTGCTCGTAATTGATTCAGGGATTTCATTAGAAACAATATTAAATTTATAGTTTTGCAATTATGATAGTTGCAGTTGCAAACATTATCGTTGCGTAATCGTATTTATGTAACCTGTGTGCATGTGAATTATGAACGTGATATGTGAATTGTGTGTAATGAAATCGTAGTTCTGTCAAATTAAATATATTTCCGTTACCGATGTGCATGTTTGCCATGAATTATGAATGTGTTTAAAACAGATAACGATATAACTCGATTCTCTGTGACTACCACATAGAAACTGTGGCTTTAGGATTGATACAATTAAAATACGAATTTATCGCAACTATAGAAGGTACATAATAAAAACTTACATCCAGTAACCTTAACTAAACATTTTTTTCTAGTAGATTGCCAAGTATCGACTGACTTAATCTATATATATGTATATACATATAAATAAAATTGGAGTGTCTGCTTGTAATATTGAAATAACAGTTTTTTACTACTTGCATATGAATATATATACGGTACATATACCAAAATAACATTTTTTATAATTTTTGTCTATCTGTCTGGCGGTCTGTTTGTTCAGGCTAATCTCTGAAATGGTTGGACCGATTTTGACGAGAGTTTTTTTGGCAGGTAGCTGATGTAAAAAGTAGTAACATAGGCTACTTTTATTTTAGAAAAATAAAGTTAAATTCCACGCGGACGAAGTCGCGGAACAGCTAGTATGAAATAAAGCAAAAGCAATTACATTGTTATTAAAATACAATTTGGTGTTTCAGTATTCTTCTATTACGTGCAAGTGGTGAACAGTTACAAAATGACGATCTGGTGATTGCTGATATCAGATCAAATGTATAATGAAAAATAGTCGGGGCGGGTAAAATATTCGTAGCATTATATCGTAAAATATATTGAATATAAAATATATTTGAGTACAAAATATTTCTGTTTCTTTTATATAAAAATTCATATTTACAGAAGGAATTCATTTTGTTACGCAATTAATTGCATATTTAACAGACTTATTTTTATCCTTACTAGTATTATAAATGCAATAGTAACTTTGGCTGTCTGTCGTGCTTTCAGACAAAACTACTGAACCGATTTATTTGAAATTTGGTACACAGATAGCCTAGTCCCTAACATAGGCTTAACATAGACTTTTTAATACGAAAAATAGTTGAAGAGGTTGCAAGGGGAGATGGAAGGTTGTATGGTAATGTCATTTTTAAAGCTAGAAGCTTAAAACATACTTTTCAGGCTGTTGATTAAATATAAATAAATGTGACATAAGACATATGACATAAGGAGGTAAAATAAAATTAGGGATGAAAGTTTGTGTGGAATTTCGTCATTATTGAAGCTAGAACGATGAAACTTTTTTATGCATGTTTTGGGTTAGATTATTAAATATTTTTTTCTTTATTTGGGTCATTGTTTTGTTTATTTGATTCGTCAAAAGTAGATTACTTTTGAATTCAATTAGATGTTATTACGTCAAAGATTTTAATAAGCTCTTTGCAATTGGCTTACAACTAGCTTTGTTGTATAAACCTGTTTAACTATAAGTATTAATAATATGTACAAAATGCTAATGTTAAAAATTAATTTCAAATTATTTAAATTTCACACAATTATTTTTGTACTTCTGTACCGATTTTTTTTCAGTCGGCCCGAAGAAACCTATAGTTTATTATTATGGTCAGTGCATATAATTGTCGTTGTCAATCAACCAAGTTAAGCAACATTAAGCACGGTCACCTCTGAGTGATTAATAGTGACATGTAAATTGGACCTATTGCGAACTTTGGAGAGCTCGTTAACTCGTTCAGTCCGCTCCTAATATTGTACAAGGGGTTCTCGAGACGGGATGATAAGGATAGGTACAGTCACCTACATTAAATCAAATCAAAACTCTTTTAAATTTAATTTATTGATGTAGGACATTTTAGCCACTTATGAACATATATTTTTTTTGTTTTAATACATAATAATAATAATAATCTTTATTTGTCTCAAACAAAAACTTTTCACGCAATACAACTGTTGCACAAACAATAATATAATTTAAAACTAATGAATGAGGCAAAACAGTCTATAACTCAATGAGGACAGTGAGTCCACCCTCTCTGCTATTCTGTTATAGCCTTTATCAATAAAATAATACAATATGAGACCGATGACGACGATAGCATATTAAGTTATAGTTAAGTTAAGTTCTAAACTACAACTAACAAAGTAAACATAAAAATTGACAATAACAAGATTACAAACTAATGAGAACAATAACAAACTTAAATATATATAATCTAAACATTATTCAAGATTTGTTACTACATTAAATAAAACTAAGAATTATTCAGGATTATTTTATCATATATACCATCAGACGCAGACTTGCGCGTACACACACATATCGACACAACTTAGTAGATTACAATACTACGAAACGAGGGATTGTTCTTGCAGCAACCATTTGCTACATTTGCGCCTAAATATTGATATGGATAATCATTTAAAGCAAAAATCATTTATTCATGTAGGACTTTTTAGCCGTTTATGAACCGTCGAGTTCATTATACAGATAATTCACTTGAGAAAAACTGCCAAGAAACTCTACTGAACAAAAGCATTGAAATATATACAGATTTATTAAAAAATGTAACTAGAATAGTAGACCAGCTGACTTTTCAACTGATGGTAAATGGTAACTATCGCATATAAACATGAACTGCATCACAGATAGCGTAGTTATGGGATGAGCGTTGAAGAATGAGCGTAGTTATGGGATGGGCGTTGAAAAATGAGCAAGAAACTTGCGTGTTGCTCTTTTAAATAAATGTCGTTGTAAGTAAATATACATTAACTAGGATTAGGCATGCAACAATCACAACAACAACAAGAAACTTAATCTCTATTCAATGGGATAACATTGTCAGCACAATGAATTTTAAGTTAGATTTTTTTACAAAAACATTATTATTATACTGCCATGTCAAACATTTTTGCCATATCTATTCATATATATACACATAGGTAAAAATGGGAGTAAATAACGAGATGACTGCGAACAGGGATGAATAGAAGAGAAAAACATTGTGAACGAAGCACTGTATATATATGGGCTGGTAGATATAGTTATGCAAACACGGGTTTTAGTAAGCAATAATATAATATTATGTACAAAAGTATAATAATAGCAGAACAAGAATAATAATGACATATATATTTTTCTATATAAAATAATAGAGAAAATACATAAATAATATACAACGAAGTGTGTCGTGCACACATATTATGGAGAACCCAAAGATAAGGAAGAAGCAGATTATGATGATGTACATACTCGTACGTACGGTAAAAATTGACAAGCACAAGAGGTTGAAAGAGCCAATGTTATTTTGTAATCGAACCTCCGACCATCAGGTTGTATACGACTACACCAGCAACGTAGTGGATACTATCAACCAATCTATCTGCTCTATAAACAAGTAATCATAAATAAATAATAGTTAAGGCACCTCACCAGGGATGCCAACATTACAAAAATCCTCATATATAACAGATAATAATAATATCTCAGGACATTTCACACAACTTCATCTAGACCTAAGCTAAGCAGAGCTTGTGTTATGGGTACTAGACGCCTTTTTTTGTAAATAAATACATATTATACATAGAAAACATCCAGACCGATACAATCAATCATACTCATGAATACAAATGTTTGTACCGTGCGAGGAATTGAACCCGCGACCAGCGGATAGTAAAGTGGTATGCTAAACCACTAGACCACCGAGGCTGTCGGTGCACCGATATTGGTACGAGATTTTTTCTTTGATACGAACCTCCTTGGTACAATTTAACTTACAATTTGACTGAAATTAAACATTTTTTATGAAGTTAATGACGATATAACAAGTAATAACTTGTCGCTTTCCATCCGTTATCTATACATATAAATAAAATTGTAAGTGTGTCTGTTTCTATTTGTGTCAAGAGTGACTGTTTGTAATATTGAAATAACCGTTTTTTACTACATGCATATGAATATAAATTGTAAAAAATATTATTTTGTTGTATGTACTGTATACACCAAAATAACATTTTTTACAATTTTTGTCTGTCTGTTTGTTCCGGCTAATCTCTTAAATTGCTGGTTCAATTTTCACGGGACTTTTATTGGTAGATGTAATAAGGAGTAACGTTGTTTTTAGTAAAGGTTACTTTTATTTTAGAACAAAAAAGTTAAATTCCACGCGGTCTGCTAGTTTAAATATATAACGATATACGAGACAGTAGAGCCACATTGAGTCAATAAAGGACATGAGTCAGGACATGTTGGTCCTCTACCATTATAGAGAACGTGTGTATTTGTACATGTATTTTTTTCTATCTCATGAATGTTCTATGATTGTAATTGGTGAATAAAGAATCTATCTATCTCATGATATCGTGATATCCGTATAGATGAGACGACAATTACCGCTTACCACCAACTCGGCCGTAAGTTTCTTTTCATTCGAATTATATAAAAAATTTCATAATATTTTTGCAAGGCGAAAAGTTTTAAACTTGGCAACCCTGCAGTTTACCGTTCACTGTTCACCGTTCACCTCGCTCTGTGGTTTAATTACAGTAATGTTGAACTAAAGTTTCCAGTAACTGATAGATATAAGTTTGGGCCTGGAAATATTTCACTAACGGTTACAATGCATTAGAAGGAGCAATACACCAATGAAAGGATATGGTATATTCAACCATTTTATTTCTAAACTAGCTACTTGCCCCAGCTTCGTCCGGGTATTCATGTATTATATACCTATGTATATAAACCTTCCTCTAGAATCACTCTATCTATTAAAAGAAACGCTTCAAAATCCGTTGCGTAGTTTTAAAGATTTAAGCATACATAGGGACAGACGGCGACAGCGAAGTTTATTTTATACTATGTAATGATTAATTAAATTAGCTCACCAATGCTACTCTATTTGCTTCACATTTTCACCGTTTTGGCAATATTTTTCAATTATAAATTCAAATTAAAATTAAAAAATCATTTATTCATGACGGACATATTAGCCGCTTATGAGCGTCAAATTTTTTTATTATAATTTTAATTTTTTCCATACCGTCCAGTTCAGTATATAGAACCAATTGAGAAAAACTAGCAAGAAACTCAATTGAATATATTATTTTATTTTAAAAGCCAGTTTATTTACAATGTATATATATAGGTGTGTATGTCTAACATTAATTGAAAATCCCGCGCACAACAACTATTGCCATGCACGCTCGTCATTCAAGTAATCGTTTAGTGATATATTATAACTATATAGTCTAGAGACTATATAGTTAGCGACTCGGATAGCCTATTTATTAAAGAGACCATAGAGACTATATCTAGAGAGACTATATCAAGATAGACTAGAGAGTCCCTATGGTTTCTTTTAATAAATAAGCTATCCAACTCCAAAAGAACTTTAATCGGATACAGTATATAAGATTACGTTTAATATACAATACTTTACATCTTTAGAATATTAGTATGCATTACATTTTAAATTTCCTATTTCAGCCGCATTTTTTCTTCTTATGCTGTTACATTTTGTTACATCACTGTAGTTTTAGTACGGAACTCTTTTTTCTTTGTGATAGTGAAGTGGCCTATGTTACTCAGAGATAATTTATTTATTTTATTTATTTACAAAATTAGTACTTTATGAAGCAATTTTCCAACCTTTTTAGTGCTATGCCCAACCTTAGCCTTTCTAAAATTCTTATGTGTTGTCGTATCTATTGATAGTACGATATAAGAACATACTGCTTGCA